GGGGGTCTGAATATTTTCCGTACCCACTGTATACACACACACACACACACACACACACACACACACACACAGGTTCCAGAGTGCAAGTGATCAATTATATAAGGTGCGATTGACATTTTTCCAAAGTCGCACTGGGTACGACTGCAAAATAAACAGGGTTATGCGTGAACGACTGCCGTCACTGTAGAATTGGTAGACAATCTCTGAAATACTGCCCTTGCAAGGTTATTTCCCAATAAAGTACCTACTCTACTCTACTCATGCATCTCACAAAGCAGAGACTTCAATCAAATGTGTTGATCCACACCGACTCCAAGACACACACATCATCCCTGGACCTCTTGTTACACTTCTACACTTTGAGTCTATTTTTTCCTTTGGCACATGTGAAGGGTAATCACCACAAACAGCTGCTTAAATGAGGTAGATCAGCTATAAGGCTGCAGGTGTTGTAAACTTTTTACTCTTACACGCAGGAAAATTCTATGAATTTAGTGTGACACATTTCCGACGGTTTTGTGCATGTTCACATTGACCACAACATTTTTATTTATAATTAATACCAAGAGGGGCATTTTTGATTAACTTGGGAAAAGAGCAGGGGCTTGAGCCCCAAGATCCTCCCCTCTGCATGTGTTTGCTTCTTACTCAATTTATGTAGTAAAATCACCAATAGGTCATAATCACTTGAAGGTGACCCCCTTTTATTCCGCGACATTTATGTGTTTTACAACACATATTTGCATTGCATTTCATGTGAATGTATGTCACATTTTATTTGCCTGTGAAAAATATGCCATTTCATATCATTTGTTCATGTTGTTCTTGGTCTGAAAAGACCTTCCCAATTCCATAGAAATAATCTAGTAAATGTTGTCTTTGGACAAAATAAACTGCTAAAAAAAAATTAAGGGAACACTTGATCATCACAGCCCAACACCGAGTCAGTTAAACTTCAAGAATATCAATATCTTTCACAATGTCAAACATGTTGGATTTGTTTCTGAATCAATCAGTCTTCTCTTTGTGTTTACAGCTTGTCACATGATGTACTGTATTCCTGCTCTTGGTTAACTCAGCTTAGCATGAAAAGGGGAGCACCTGGTTTGATGCAAACACAGCAGAATCATTGTCATGTGAGACTGAGATCGCACACAGATCTACAGACATGGCTAAAAATACTGGCACCCCTTTCTGTCAGATAATGTACCACTTCTCAGAGAAAACTGTTGCAGTCGCAAGCGCTCTGGTATTCTCTTGCTTGCTTTGATTTGGACCACCACAAAAAGCTGAGGAAAAACCCAAATCTGATACATTACACACAGAAATATACCCCAAATATGGACTTCTGCAGGAGTGCCAGTATTTTTAGCCATGACTATATGTGCAGAACTAAACCAACAGTGTTAGTCCATCTCCTAATATTTTGACTTCAATTACTTCCCTACCCTGACTGTCTGTTACATGCCCAGTGTTTCTTAGTGAAGACAAGTGTTTAAAAATTACTCCCAAATATATAATTCAATAGTTCCAGCTGGCCACTGTGAGTTTTAGCAAACATTGCCCCAACTAGAGGATATTTGTTGGAGCATTTATTGGAGAGAAATTTCAGTGACAGATTAAATGTGATATATACTCACCAGCCACTTTATGTACAACTGCTCAATTGTATGCACTTCTGCCTTAACATCTGTTTGAAGCTCAAAAATGTTTCAGTTTCTGGTGAAATGGTCATAAATGTCTGAATTCAATTATACTAGGTTTACTGAGGTCATAATTAAAGGTAGCGTTGTACTGAACCACATTATATTTAGAGGTGTCTATATTTTTGTCCTTTCCAGCTACATACATAAGAGGGTCATTAGGAACACCTCTGAATATAATGTAGTCCAGTACAACAATATGACCTCAATAATAAACATATTTGAATTTATACATTTGACAATTTCACCAAAAACAAACATTCTGAACTTCATAAACAGATGTTAAGGCAGAAGTGTTGCATTGAAATGCATACAATTGTACAGGTGTACCTAATAAAGTGGCCATGAGTGTATGTATAAAGTCTCATTTCCAAAAGTACAACTTATATACAATTTTGCAGACAAAATTGTTTGACAGAGCGCTTTGAAATACATAATTAGTTCCTCCTTTTGTACCACTGTGAGGTGCCAAATGCAGACAGTTTTAAAGCGGGGGGGAATAAATAAAGAAAATAAAAATGTAACCAATACGGACAATTTTGCCATCTTGGAATCTTGTCAGGATTATCATTGATTCACTGTGGTTTTATATCTTTTTTCAGTTGTTCCGACTCACCTTTGGCACCTCAATCTCCCAGATGATGAGCTCAGAGTTTGAAGAGCTTTCCGCAGCACCCATAGTGCAGCCGCTGTCCACAGAGTCCATACTATTCACATCAGAGCCTGGACACACACACACACACACAAAATCATAATCCTCTTTAACAACCAATATGAAACAATGCTTCCGCTGGTAACTTTTTTGCGTGGCACCTGCCACACCAAAACCAGCCTGTCATGAACTTCACCAGTTCCAGCTCATTAGGAGCATTAAGATCATAAATGTCACATTAATATCCATATAATTATTAAGTGTTTGTTCACCTCCATAGAGAGCATGGAACATGGATTAGGGATGGAAGATAGAGCTCAGAGAGGGATAGATGAGGATTTTTTTTTGGCCCCATTTTTTTAGCGGAAGAAAGAGCAATCTATCAACACTTCCTATCTTAGGACAGTATTCCTATCCCCACCAAATGTACGAGAGCTCCAGAGGTGTCCAAACTCATTGGAAGTTGCCAGGAGGTGGCATTCAGACAGAGATAAACCCACAGACTTAGTGGGAGGGAAGATGTTTTACTTGCACTTAATGACTCTGAGCTTGTTAAAATATACAGTTTGGTAATAAATGGAAAAGTTTTGTGACAGATCTTGTGCAAGATGCAATTGCTCCAACAAAAGGAAGAACATGTGCTGTCTCCACTGAAACAGCAGTCATTGCATCTTTAGGTTACATTTTTTACTTTTACTTTTTTCTTAGACAAAGTAGGTGCAGCAGTAGGAATGATTTGAGTCTATCAAAGCCAACAGTTTTGGCCATTATAAATGAGACCTCGGTCATTCTTACAGCTCCACTGTACATGCAGCGATTCATTCATTTCCACACCACTCACTGTTAAATCAGTGAAAAACCAGCTACAAATACGCAAATCGCTGCTTTCCTTGAACGTGTTGGAGTCATCGATGGCGCACACATTAACGTCATTGCCTGAGCACTGATGAGGGCACTTCTGTTAATTCAAAACATTACCACAGCATTAACACAAGTGGTTGTGAACTACATGATCCTTGGTTTACTGGATTCAGCAGCCAAATGGACTCACACAAGGCTCAAATAACAGTGAAAGCAGACTGAAACTTATAATTATGTTCCCCTGAATACACAGCTTTATTATACAGAATTAGAAAAAATGGGGCCGGTGAAGAAAATTTCACACCGGTGAGTCACATTATGAGTGGCTTTCAAATAAACTTACAGCCTTGACATAAAGCACATTACTGTTGTGTACAATGAACATGTTATTTTCTGTTACCAGCTTCTTGTCTATACACATAAAAGACTTCACTTGATAAGTGGCGCTGATAATAGCATTTCAGTTTCCACGGTCTATAACTACAAACTCTGTTGGAGAAACTATAACACGTCAGTATAATGTCGCCTTTGTGGTTCTGAGTGTCGTAAAACAGTGACGTCTCGCTCGTTATTAGTAGTAGGATTTGTCCTTGCTGAAAGTGACAGAAGGATGCTTCATAAATAACTTAAGTCCTACTCTGAGGTATGATTATTTTTTTTGTCCTAAGTTAGCTTTCAGCACAACTCCTAGGACTGATTCCGAGATGCTTGCTAAATACACTCCCTGACAAAAGTCTTGTTGCCTATCCAGGTTGTAGGAACAACAAATAACTTGACTTCTAGTTGATCATTTGGAATCAGAAGTGGCTTATATGAAAGGCAAAGGCCTCTAGATCATGCTTATTTTACCAAAATAAAATCATCATTCCTTGATTTTTAATTTAATTAGGACAGAAAGGTCAGACTTTGCTTAGACAAAAGTCTTGTCGTATAACAAAATAATGTACAATACAGAACATAAAGTCATGCTGCCATGGAAAAAGAATTAATATTGTGTATGACTCCCATGAGCTTAGAGGACTGCATCCATACGTCTCGGCAATGACTCAAATAACTTATTAATGAAGTCATCTGGAATGGCAAAGAAAGCATTCTTGCAGGACTCCCAGAGTTCATCAAGATTCTTTGGTTTCATGTTCAATGCCTCCTCCTTCTCCTTCCATCTTACCCCAGACATGCTCAATAATGTTCATGTCTGGTGACTGGTCTGGCCAATCCTGGAGCACCTTGACCTTCTTTGCTTTCAGGAACTTTGATGTGGAGGCTGAAGTATGAGGAGCGCCATCCGGCTGAAGAATTTGCCCTCTCTTGTGGTTTGGAATGTAATGGGCAGCAAGAATGTCTTGATACTTCAGGCTGTCGATGTTGCCATCCACTCTGCAGATCTCTCGCACGCCCCCATACTGAATGTAACCCCAAACCATGATTTTACCTCCACCGAACTTGACTGTTTTCTGTGTGAATCTTGGGTCCATGCGGGTTACAATAGGTCTTCTGCAGTATTTGCAATGACTGGCATGCAGTTCAATAGATGATTCATCGGAAAAATCAACCTTCTACCACTTTTCCACTGTCCATCCTTCCTGCAAGCTGTGGGCCCTAGCAAAAGCAACATGATTTTTTAGTTGTCTTCTATTTCATGCTGGTTTCTGAGCACTAATTTCGCCATTGAGACCACTGCGTGAGAGAATTCGACAAAGTGTTCTTGTAGATACAGGGGTTTCTGGTGACCAGTTTTTATGTAGCTCTGCTGCAGGTGAAAAAGGGCTGGCCCTGGACTGTCGAAGCAACAAACGGTCCTCTCGAACAGTTGTCTTACAGGGTCTGCCTGACCTGGGCCTGTCATGAACTTCACCAGTTTCTTCAAAGCTTTTTCTTATCCTCTCGTTTAGATACATTAAAGATGTCTGCCACCTCAGCAGGAGACTTGGTCTTCAGGCTCTTGATGATCAGCACTTTGGTCTGTGGCTGAATCTCTGGCATGCTGTCAGAGGTCAGGTTGCATTTCAAATGAAGGTTGGGTGTGCTGGGGTTCTTCTTATACACACCTGGGAATGTGTTAATTACAGTATTTGTCACAGGTGAAGCTCTAATCTGTGATTGGTTGAATCCATTAAAGATATGGCAAGACTTTTGTCCTTGCAGAAACAGATGTTATGGGCTTTACCAAGCTGTGAACATCAGGACACTTTTTAATGGTTTCATTTTGCACCCAGTTATTAATGTGAATGCCCTTGACATTAAAATTAACAATTTATTGTGACAACTGAATGATTAGAAATAAAGTTATATGACATTTTAGGTTACTATGTCCTTATAGGACAAGACTTTTGTCAGGGAGTGTACTGGCCCTGGTCACATTTGGTAGAAAGTCTGCTGTTTTCTCTCACTGTATCTTCAATACAAGATGCAAAAATATTTGTCACTACATTACTGTAGGTGCTTTTGGACCAGAGGAACTTTGCCACAGAACAGTTGAAAAAAGTACCACCTTTTTGTGTCCACACCACAGGAACTGAGAACAATAGAAGTTCTTAGAATTCTGTTTTCAGGGATGTTTTTAGCTCCTACTTCAGGGTAGGGATTCTCCAAGCACAATAGGAACCACGAGTTATGTATGTCTGCATTAACTATAGCATTTCATTTTATAAAGAAAATACTTATTGGTAATGTACAGTAATGTCACTATGTATTAACCGCTGAGAGTTTATTGGCTCATCTCTAACAGACAACCACTTTTAGTGTTACCTTACTTCAGGGTTCCAGTGCAAAAGCAAAAAGAATAAAAAGCTTGTGAAGGTATGTAGTTCTTGGGGGAGCTCCACAGTGAGGTTGTCCCTAGAACTGTTTGGTCCAAAAGCACCTGTTATCAGATTTAGAAACTATAATATTAAGTTCAGTATTTGCCTCAAAAATCCAGTATTGGTCTGGCTACAGCGAACACTTTTTACACTAATTCTCTGAACAAACAGAATAATGTCTCACCTCCAGAACGGTCCATCTCCACATCACATGTCCCATGAGCTCCGTTCCTCAGGCCCTTTCCATTCAGCCTCTTTATCTCACATACAGCATCCACTGAGCTTTTTTCATTTATAGCCAAAACCGTTTCCTCTGTGGTTGTCTCAACTAGTGACCGAGGCTGTGTGAATTCTCGAACTGACAAGTCTGTAACCTGGATCACATCCATTTGGTTATCAAATATGCTGGTCTGGAGGTCCTCATTGCTTATGCCATCCTCAGACTGGCATGTGCTACAAGCCGAATCTTCAGCCAGCACAACTGCTTCATCACCTTTCAGTTTCATGTTTAGGAGAGGGATATTTTGTGCTGCCTGGAGTGATAGTGTTGGCCAAGTGTGTCTCTGTTCATTGTTTGTCTGATGAATTCTATGACTAACCTCAACGGGCTCCCATTCTTGAGCTGAGGAGCACCCATTAGGCATCCCTTGCTCTTCTCTTTGTGTTTCCTCTCTATATTCATAGCCTATCTTACAGGGGTTTGTCAGTAGATGGTGATGCTGCTGTGCTGAAGTGCTGGGCTCATGTTGGGAGCATAGTCTACCATTAACCAATAGTGTGCTGCTACTGCATGTGGGCTGGGTGCTGTCTGTAATCTGATAGCTGGTGACACCAAGGACCTCCTGGGTGGCTGCCGAGATGACCTCAGTTATAAGTCCAGCTGCCAGAAGCTCTAGGTCCTGCTCCTCTCCACTGCTACTGTGTAATTGGATGTCATCTGTGGGCACAGATCTAGTGAGCGAGTCTTGAACCATGGTCAGCGCTGTGGAGGCAAGGGCCAGCGCAGTAGGTGTGCTCGTTAATTTGTGTTGATGGTAATCCTGCACCAAAGGGGGTGAGTCTAAAGAGTCCACCTCTGATGGGATCACTGATGGGAGCACTTTGGCTGGGGTGACTGCACAAACAACTCTCTCATCTTGTGTATTACTAGTAATGTGATTCTTTGCAACTTCTCCCTCAGGTTCAGGCCTCTCTGCATCAGAAAGATGAACTGTTGTAGGGGAGGAGCTGGTGTCTCTAATAGACTGCCAAGGCAAGATGACCTCTTCCATTGTGTCCTCTGGAGCAGAGGCTAGACCTTTGATTTGCTGCTTCTGTAACATTGTTGCCATGACAAGTGATGAGGTTTTTTCTGAGTCGTTATGGCCTTTCAGTGACACCTGCAGGTTGTCTTCTTTGCCAGTTGATGTAAGTGAGACAGAGGGCTTAAGAATCTCCCTTTGTCTTACTGTAGCAAGATGTGGGGTAGCCTCTTCAGGACTTTGTTCCAGTGAATGTGCTGCTTCAGCATCCTGAACATGGACCTGGGAAATATTTTTATTTTCTGTTCTCTGGTTAATGATCTTAGGACATCTGTGGGTGGGGCTTTCTATGTCATTTATGGGGGATATATTGCCTTTTTCAACCAAACCATTGCTACCATTAGTTTGGGATGTTCTAAGGCCCATTATGGTTGCAGCCCCCTCTGGGCTGTCATGGCTGATGAGCCGCACTTTCTTCCGTGAGATGTACCACCACCAACCAATCAGTGCAAGTACTCCAGGCAGTGTGTAGGGTACAACAGAGCGAAACCTCAGTGGCATTTCCTCAGGACACTAGCAGCTACACCTGAAACTTAAAGACACAGATTTGAATGAATATCTCATATGCACTTTTTGAAATCACATTTGTAACATCTTTTAAGATGAAAGTTTAATCTTACCACAGCAGAACATTAGGCCAGTAATACACTAAGGCTGGGCACCATTTTTCAAGCACTTGATATTAAAATATTGGTATAATAACCATTTGTGGCTCAATGTAACAAATGTGCAAAATCACAGAAAGTTATCAATATAAAACACCTTTAATTTTAAAGTCGGGGTAAAGCAAAATCAGATTTTTTTAAGCACATTATACCTGTTGGAAAAAAGTTGCTGAAAACATGAAAAGACAACTGTATAGCACTGAATTGTGGAGTTAGAGCAGGGGTGGCCAATTCCAGTCCTCGAGGGCCACTGTCCTGCTTGTTTTCCAACTATTACCCCTGCCTGAATTGCTGCGGATTACCTGGCTCAGGTGTGTTCAGCCAGTCAGAAGCTGGAAGATACCAATTCACTTTCTTTCCTCACTCCACTTTCATCTAAGATGGTATCTTCCAGCTTCTGATTGGCTGAACACACCTGAGCCAGGTAATCATCAGCAGGTCAGCATTGGCCACCCCTGGGTTAGATTGTTAAACAGTTACTCATCATTTCTGAGTTCAGATTTTTTGAATGGGGCAGAAAGCATGGTTCAATGACGCACTGGAGCCATCCTTAAAGTAACACCGTCTTCACTGCTGCAACACCAGCGTCTGTTCCGTGTGTGTAGGAGCTGAGCGTTGCCCACTCTCATTCAAACACCAATAATATTTTCCCATCAACTACTGCAGTTAAGTGATCTTTGATAAAATGCTCCTGTAAAGCCCTAGCACAAAAGCAGCAGTTCTCCTGTTTGATCATGAGTTACTATACCTACAGACGCAGCCACTCCGAATTGTGCTTAGCAGCTGAATGGCTTTCGGCTACTGTGCAGCTGGTGTGCAGTTCCCGTTAGCCTTCCAGGAGCCCCGCTTCTCCTGTCGCCCGATAAGTCAGTTCTAGATTCCACAGTAAATATGCCCAATAAAAGAGCTATTCCTTGATTTACATGGTGTGAACATTAGATGGTGTTTTGTCTCAAAAACACACAATCCAGAGCATGACTGTCTGAAATACTATATTCACAGTTGTGTTTTTGTTTAAGCCATGGTTTATACAATAGAAAAGTCTGATGATAATCCTTGCAATACAGGTACTGCACTTCACTGTGAACATTCATTTGCAATCTGATATATTGCACAGCTGCTGTCACAACCCTGTAGTTAAGTGGACTTTGTACAATGATACCGTCAATACAGCTTCATTAAAATACAAGGGGCTGAATGAGGGTTTAACAACCGTGCATCACTGTACTGTCTTGATGTATAGATTACCATTTTATAGCCAACTTGTTCAGTTGCCTTGTCTCTTAAAATGTAACTAAACTGTAAAGGTTTCATAAAGAACACATTTGAATGTTGGATTGTATTCTGATGCAATGCAATTTATAAATGAATGAAACACTGCATTTTCCTCCTGACACAGATAGAACAAGAAGTGGGGAGGGTGTGAAGGCATAAAGCACAGCTTAGTCTCCCATACAGAATGAGTTCAACTCCACCTTGAATTTTGCTCTGGTGAGATTTGAAAGATCTGATATTTTGGTAGAAAAATACAAAAGCTGTGAACATTTTAGTAATAATATAATGCCGACAAAGGAAAAAAAGACATTAACCATAGGCGTAGTGCTGCCAAAATGCACCAGAACGATGCTCCACCACTTTTTTTCCTCAGAGAGGGGAAAAAGAATAGGCCGGCTGGCATAATCAGCTTGAAATGCATAACACTGCATTATTGTGGGCTTTTAAAGATCTAATCATCAGTGAAGTGTATGTCCTGCAAAATTGAATGCTCTAACTTGTGATAATAACATTTAAGGTGTGGTGATTGAATCACAATGTTGACTCAAACAATGTGCTCTCCGATGTGCAGTTGTCACCTACAATTGTGTTTTTGTTTTGTTCAACCACATATATGACTAAATATATTGTTCACAGGGACACAGTTTAGCGTTGACTACGAACCCCTTTTCCAAAAGACAAGTGATAGAACTTTCAGATCATTCAGAGTGAAACTAGAGCACAATCTCCAGGATCATAAGATGTGACAATCAGCAGCATGAACAGACTTTTCATTTAATTTAAGTGATCCTGGGATTTTTTTTTTTACCTGTGTACTTGTGAGTGATCAGCTGTAAGTCTATAGGACACCAGTAAGGCCTAGGATGGCCAAAATTTAGAACGTGCTGACCAGTCACAAGCCCCACACAGAGCTGATGTGTTCACTGTTGCTGAATAACATGTAAACCAACATGAAGAAGGAGGAGCTCAGTGAACAATCAGTACATTTTGGAGTCAGTCTAACAGTGGAGCAGAGAGCACCTATTTTCTTATATATTTAAGAAACTTTTAATGACTGGTCATGACAAATACTGGGTGGGAGGTGGGGGAACAAATGTCTGTTCCTCCTATTTTGGTTGGAACCTGACCCCCACGGATATTATGCCCCATTTATAGCTTTAAACAGTCACTCCGTGACAAATAGTTACCTAACATTGTTATTCTGCCACACCAGAGAATAAAGTCAGCCTAGCATTTGATTGTGTGGGCAACTACAGTTGTCACATAGCTGGAAAAGTTTTTACATGGCACTCTTATCAGTCCACGTTCACGCACACACGTCAGAGGTGCACTCCGGTACTTCATCAAATAGCACAATACCTGTGATATTAATGTAATGAGAGTCAGATTAGGTGAAAGCTTACGTATGCGTTTTCTTTTTTGGTCTTGCTAGGACACATTCGGGGGATTTCAGAATAGTAGCCTACTGGGTGTGGGTTTAATGTACTGGCTTCACACCTCAGTACATTCCAGAATTTAGAAATGCAAAAAACATCCTACATTAGAGCAATTCACCCCAGCTAAATTATAGCAAAAAATCATTTCTCCTGCATCGTATACTGTAGGCTATTGTGCATAACCTTGTTCCAAGCCTTCTTTGAAGTTATATTATGCATTATATCTACATTTTATTTTATTGTAAAATCAAGGTTGTCAACTCTTCACTACAGAAAAGAGACAGTTGCTCTCAGGCTGTTACTCCTTTATGCTCTGCTGAATAGTACCTTTCATTTTATCTGCATCTCAGGGCCAGTTGTGGCCATAAAGACTGCATTGTTTTCCGATTCAACATAGCTTTAGTTCTTGAAAGAATGAAGTGCTGCATTTTCATACACTACAGCAGCAGACAAAAGTTGAAGAACGGAGTATGGCGGAAGCACAATGGGCATCCTCAGATATCTTTTGGATTTTCATCACTTCAGTTTTGATCTCTGTAACAAGGTCTGTGCAGTGCGTGCACACATGGTAGTGTGCTTCGTTTGGTGTGTGTGTTACATTTCACTACTAGCTTGTTATGACTTAAATGGCAGTAAGTGCACCGCTAACAGTCCACTGGTTCTGAGCCAGAGAATCCACCAGAGGTCCTATCCACCAGCCCCAGTACAAGCATGCCCCCCCACCAACAGCAGGCTACAAAGAAGCAGTCCCAGGGCTCATGAGAAAGCAGTAGTCAGTAACAGACATGGATGAGTTTGTCAAAATTATTGCACACACGCACACACATGCAAAAAGAAGGTTCTTGCTCTAATGTGGTAATGAATCTGAATGGGAAAAGGTGAAGAGTTTATGGTGCGAAACTCCTTCATTACGAAAAATTTTCAGACACATTTTGTTATATTTCAGGATCATCTTAAAATGGATTCAGTTCATTTTCCCCCTCACCAATCCACACACAAAATTCCACAATTATACAGTGAAACAGGTGTTTTGAAAATGATATTAAATACTTATGTAAATATTCTATTTACATAAGTATTCTGTTAAGCCCAGAGGCTGGTGGACAGGTGGACCCAAGTGCGATACTCAGGCTCAAATCTCTGGTGGCGATGGGAACTGAGGGGAAGCACAGCAGATAATGCCTGTAGCGATATGGAATGTGGTGCCGGAGGCAGAGCTGCTCCAACAACCGCCGTGGAGGTGGAGTATGGGATCCTCAGAGGAGATTCTTGGGGAAACAGAGATAAGGTAGTGAGGAGCCGGAGATCTGTGGCAGGATAGAGGTGGATGGAGAACAAGACCCAGAAGAGCTGAGATGTATGCTGTGGTGGCATGGTGTAGAGCTGGTGATCTGTAGCAGTGTAGAGGTAGAAGAAGAACAGGAGCCAGATGATCAGAGGACAGTGCTGAGTAGAAGCAGCGGGGAGCCTGGTAATCTTGCCGCAAAGAGAAAGAGGCGGAAAACAGGAACCCACAGAAGACACAGCAGTGTCGAAGCAGAAGCTGCAGAAGCGAGGTTGTCGAGGAAAATCCGGAGCCAGGAAAAGGGAAGCTTGCCAGCTGACCAGAGGAGAGAGTCACACAATGCAGGTAAGAACAACACATTCGCAAATTGCCAAGAAACAGATTAATCCGATAACCAGGTTTTAAGAGCCAGGAGCCAGGGTCTGTGCGGAGTGAAATGTACAACAATCTGGCGACAAGAACATGCCAGTGTCCGGCTTAAGTGGAGCCAGGCAGATGAGAATCAGCTGTGCTGGGCGTGTCTTGTTGCCTGGATCGATTACCTGCACGTGAGGGGGTGGAGGTGCCGGCTGCGGACATGACATATTCAGACCATTTACTTAGTACTTGGTTAAAGTGCCTATGGCAGCAATGACAGCCTCAACTCTGCAAGCTTGGCAGCTTTCTTTTGAAATTCTCTTGCATTTTTCTTGGCAGAATTGTTCAAGATCAACGAGGTTGGATGGGGAGATTTGGTGCACAGCCATTTTCAGGTTTCTCCAGAGATGCTCCTTTGGGTTCAGGTCTGGACCCTGGCTGGGCCCCTCCAGGAATTTCAGAGTTTTCCTGTATCCACTTCTCTATTTTCTTGGCAGTATGGTCATTGATTTGT